TGCTAAAGGTACATGAATTTAAATTTCTATATCTGCCGAACACGCACAGTAGGGGTGGGTGGGTGTGGTTTTTTGCCAATATTTTAATTCACATGAGACCCATTCCATTAGAGTGAAATTCAAAAATCTATATTAATTCTGTTATTTTTCCTCTATACTCAGCAATTTTCTTAACAATATGTAGCGTTATGTATGCCTTACAAATACATTATGCATTCAAAATACATACATTCCTCGTATTTTAACACACAAAAATTCATATTATAGTAATTAATTTGGTACCAATTGTTAAAATTTTGAAGAGAGAAATCAACAAAACCAAGGCGATAAATATAGATTTTTTTTTAAACAACAAAACGAGCTTAATAATTAATCAAATTGGCCAAACGAATAAAACTTTTGTATTTTGACCACCAATTATCAAAGTAAAACTGACCCCCTATTTGATACACATTCTTTCGAAATACATTCTTTCAAAATTCATTTTTAACCACACTTTATTCAATAAAATAATATTTATTATCATTTCACTATTTAAAATACATTCTTTTCTCAATAATATCCATCAAACACACCTTTAATTTGGTGCCGACAATAGTTGTTTATTTGAAAATTTAAACAAGTAAAGTGCTCAATCGGGGCATAACCTACTACAATAAAACAACATCTTGATTCATTCTATGCAACATTAATTAAAAATTAGTTGATATGACCTATTGAATTATTTACTAATTAATCAATTAATTAATGGGTTAGACCATTCCACATGGATAGTCAAATCCTCAAAAGTTGGGCCTTTGATCTCTTCTATTGGAGGACAAAACCCTAGTTTTATCACTTTCATTAAAGGTTCTATACTTAACTTAATTAATCTCTTAATTAATTAATTAATTAATCTAAATCGTACAAGATGTGTTTGGATGACATTTTGGTACGTGGAATTCCTCCCACACGCATAATAATTAATTCTTAATTAACACTTAATGCTAGCTGTCGATTCTTATGCTTCTATAAACTTCCATCCATCAACCTTTTGTCACATGCTTACCACTTCACCCTTTTGATTTTTGCATATATGAAAAATGATATTTTTGGTATACGTGTTGACTAGATGGCCATTGGCAATTTGAATTCAAAGCGATACATCTACACTTTTCCCCTGTTATAATATATTTTATTGTGTGAATTAGACAGGATCAAACGATATTAATAAGAAAATAAAGTTAGAATTTTGTTCGTTATATAAAAATAATAATGCATAGCGATACATCTACCATTTAAGTCGAATTCGTTTCTCATGAAAAACTTCAAAGATGAATGTTTTTATAACGAGAAATGGATTTGTCAGAAATCCAACAGATCCACCCCATGGGAGTAAAATATTGAACCCCTCCTCGCCGACGGTGAGTATCTAGCAAATTTCTGTGAATTCTACATCTGTACGTGAAGCAGAGTTCTTTTATAACTCGGGTTACAAGGACAATTGCGTGCTCTGATAGTACAAATAATAATGCATATCGGAATATATACTTTTATCTACGAAACATTCATTACATTTAAGTCGAATTCGTTTCTCATGAAAAACTTAAAAGATGAATGTTTTTATAACGAGAAATGGATTTGCCAGAAATCCAACAGATCCACCCCATGTGAGTAAAATATTGAACCCCTCCTCACCGACGGTGAGTATCTAGCAAATTTCTGTGAATTCTACATCTGTACGTGAAGCAGAGTTCTTTTATAACTCGGGTTACAAGGACAATTGCGTGCTCTGATAGTACAAATAATAATGCATATCGGAATATATACTTTTATCTACGAAACATTCATTACATTTAAGTCGAATTCGTTTCTCATGAAAAACTTAAAAGATGAATGTTTTTATAACGAGAAATGGATTTGCCAGAAATCCAACAGATCCACCCCATGTGAGTAAAATATTGAACCCCTCCTCACCGACGGTGAGTATCTAGCAAATTTCTGTGAATTCTACATCTGTACGTGAAGCAGAGTTCTTTTATAACTCGGGTTACAAGGACAATTGCGTGCTCTGATAGTACAAATAATAATGCATATCGGAATATATACTTTTATCTACGAAACATTCATTACATTTAAGTCGAATTCGTTTCTCATGAAAAACTTAAAAGATGAATGTTTTTATAACGAGAAATGGATTTGCCAGAAATCCAACAGATCCACCCCATGTGAGTAAAATATTGAACCCCTCCTCACCGACGGTGAGTATCTAGCAAATTTCTGTGAATTCTACATCTGTACGTGAAGTAGAGTTCTTTTATAACTCGGGTTACAAGGACAATTGCGTGCTCTGATAGTACAAATAATAATGCATATCGGAATATATACTTTTATCTACGAAACATTCATTACATTTAAGTCGAATTCGTTTCTCATGAAAAACTTAAAAGATGAATGTTTTTATAACGAGAAATGGATTTGCCAGAAATCCAACAGATCCACCCCATGTGAGTAAAATATTGAACCCCTCCTCACCGACGGTGAGTATCTAGCAAATTTCTGTGAATTCTACATCTGTACGTGAAGCAGAGTTCTTTTATAACTCGGGTTACAAGGACAATTGCGTGCTCTGATAGTACAAATAATAATGCATATCGGAATATATACTTTTATCTACGAAACATTCATTACATTTAAGTCGAATTCGTTTCTCATGAAAAACTTAAAAGATGAATGTTTTTATAACGAGAAATGGATTTGCCAGAAATCCAACAGATCCACCCCATGTGAGTAAAATATTGAACCCCTCCTCACCGACGGTGAGTATCTAGCAAATTTCTGTGAATTCTACATCTGTACGTGAAGCAGAGTTCTTTTATAACTCGGGTTACAAGGACAATTGCGTGCTCTGATAGTACAAATAATAATGCATATCGGAATATATACTTTTATCTACGAAACATTCATTACATTTAAGTCGAATTCGTTTCACATGAAAAACTTCAAAGATAAATGGTTTTATAACTCGGGTTACAAGGACAATTGGGTGCTCTGATAGTACAAATTTAAAGTATATAATAAATCACGTGATAGGTGCTGACAAAAACAAATGTTGTGTTACATAATATGAAATTGCAATCTCTTAATGCTTCTTTGTGAAGAAATATTTACTTAAATATGTATGAAAAAACAGTGTATATATTCTATTTTATGCCACGTCTCTTGGTGGTCCTAAATTTTGCACCTCGTAAAGCGTGTTATAAATTTTTAAATGTTTCTTTTAATGGTATTTTTAAATGTTTCTTTTAATGGTATTTAACCTGCTTCGTATTACCTCTCACCCCACCCCACCCCACCCCACCTTCGATATAGAGTTTCAAGTGACTAGATACAATAAAATTTAAAAAAATTATAATAAATCCACTGCACTCTATACTAACAAAATTTAGTTTTAGAAGTAAAACTATGCCTATGTTTGGACTACGTTAAAATGAGATTTTGAAGAAAAACGCATTTTGAAATAGTGATCTTTTTTGAAAATTTTGTGTTTAAAAATAAAGAAAAGTTCTGATTTTACGTATAATATTATTTTATAGGAAATGTGGGGGGAAAAATGAGTTTCGAAAAAAATATTTTTTAAAAAAGAATAATATTATCCATTACCGCTAGCGTCAAGCGCCAGTCTAGATGACAATTATACGATATTAAATGATAGGTTCATTTAAATTTTAAAATCATATAACTCAATTAATTAAACCTATAAAGCATTGATATTTGTAAGTTAATTGAAACATATATCACAATCTAATCTAAAACCACTTTAACCAAATTAATTATCATTGGATAAAAGAGTCACGGCAAGTGTGATCGAGTCTTAACAATATGTAGAGCTGTTTGTACATTCAGAAATTTGGTAAGAGGATGATATTACTCTTCAGTTTCAAGCTTGCAATAGATAAAGAATAACTCAAGCATCAATAGGCTCGGTAGCTTGCTTAAGCCATTCCATCTCGGTTGCATTCAGGTACGGTGCAAGGATTTCCCTGCACTTGGAATTGTAGTTATTCAACCATTCAATTTCTTCAGCAACGAGAAGGCTCGCGTCAATCAACTTCCTTTGATATGGCGCCTGAAAGTGGAGAAATAGTGTAAAAGCGATGTGCCAGAGTACTTCTATCTACTGAACAAAGCCACAATTTACAACTGAAAGGAATATCGTCGAATGTGGACTCAAAATTTCCTCTCTTCAGGATTTGAGTGTAAAATCACACAGCCTTCATTGTACCATTAAAGGAGAAATATATGTTTCCTATAGTAGCGTCACACAAGCATGCGTACATACACATTGAAGCAGAAGTATAACGGAATGGTTCATGGTGGTGGTGGTGGTATTAACAGGTTTCAAATATGGTAATGATAACTTTGAACTTCTTTTCCTCGTTTGGGAGTAAAAAATAATTCCCGTTTATCTACTACTATACAATGTTATTGTGGATTGATATTGATACACCGACACAATGAGTTGAGCTAAGTAAGAAGGACTTGAAACTGTTCATGTGAGGACAAGACAAATGTACTGTAAATGAAGGTAATAAAATTCAAGGGCATAAAGTTGTCACATGATAAACATGGGGTGAAATCATTTTACGAATTATTAGTGGTAGTTTCGAGGAACTGGCTCTGCACTGGTTAGAAGGAAAGAACTATCCAATGTGCACGCTAATCAAATGAATGCCGGTACATTAAAAGAAAGACGATGAAGTTGAATACTTACCCATGTTATATGCTCAAATGACAAGTAGCCTTTGTCGCCAAAATTGAACTTTGTGTCAGCCTCCTTTATTATCAGCACATTTTCCAATCTTATACCAAAGCTCCCATCCTCGTAATAACCAGGTTCTGGAAAATGAAAATTAAATCTCCAGTCAGGGAAAAACAGAAAGAAAAATGGTCAATTATGGGTAAACAAATATCGGTAGGATCTTAATACGCTAGGCTCATGGAGACGAGCACGAGATAAGAGAGTAGAACTTTAAAATGCCAAATGCATATATCACTGGATGAATGATGGTTGAGTATTACAGGGACATATTGAGAACCATTTAGATAACATGTCCAAACTTCCAAGCCTAACAATATATTTGCAAGGTATGACCGCTCTCACAGTAGAATAATAGAATTGCATCTCATTTTCTTTCTCATAACTGAAATTTAAAATTTAGTTTCTAAAAATAAAGAAGTAGAACAACAGACATACAGATTTGTTTTCTTTTGGCATTGCATAAAAGTTAGAGCATTGTTATCTCCGCTTAAAGACATATAGATGACATCCTAACCTTCTATCGAAAAAGCTGCGTCTTGCATGAAATTTTTTCTTAATTGCTTCTCATAAAAATGTCAAAACAAAAGGTATAATATGGGCTGGACCCATAGATCAAAGCAGAGTTACAAAATAGGATACATACCATCCGTAACAGTCATTGAAGGTTGTAATGGTACATTCCGAGCAGGTGGTCTGAAACTAATTTGATGCGGTCCTAAAAAAAAAGGCAGAAGTTAGGAAAATTATCAACTGCTACCAGATTCTCTTGATGTCCCATAGTTTAATAATCCCCAATACCTAATGAAATCTTTAGAAATTAACTCTTCCGTTTTCTAAAATAAATAGTTACTAATCCGATAAGGAAAAAATCATTTGTAATGTTAATAGTTAGAAGAGAAATTTCAACACATGTTTTCACATTTCGGAAACGTGTTGACCATGTGAACATGAAAATACATAACAATTTTTTGCACAAGGCAACAATATTCTCATTTTTCGGCTCCGTTTGATCTCCATTTTTTTTCTCATTATAATGAGAAATATGACCGTTGGAGTTGCTTTTTTGAATTGTAACGGTCATATTTCTCATTATAATGAAGAAAAAATGGGGATCAAACACACGCTTCTTTGGCAATATATTTTAGCCTTGATAAATAACTGACTTTTACATTATAGAGCCCATCAACAAAATAGTTATGGATGCATTCGTTCTTGGATCGTATAAGTACAGATTTCAGGACATGGAATGAGTTTATTCTTGCAAAATTAAGATTATTTAGAGATGGTCAGCTTATAGAACATTCTTTGTAAGATGCTCGTGCAGGCAACCATCATGGTAAATTTTATCAAGGACAAAATATAAATAATAACTAGTAAAGATAAAGTTCTTGCAAAAGTAAGTACAAAAAGTTACTGCAAGCAAATACAAGAAGCTTGAAACAGTCAATAGTCAATACTTCCCAAAGATAATATTGAGAACTAGTTCATGACTTGTTCATTTTACTATGAATTTGGTCTTATTTTTCTATTATAGTATAATCAAATAACGTTGTTATGGTGTATATAGACACGATATTTCCTTATATTTATAAATGTCAACCTTATTGGTTAGAGTGTAAGAAAATATCATAGCGCTTCAAAATTAATAGCTTCTCCATCCCAAATTATACATTTTTTGCATAGAATCAAAATATAGTCATAAGAAAAGAAAAATTGTCCAGCAGGACTACTACAAAGAAATTTTTCGTCAAATGAAGCAGGAGAAAAAAAAAATTATTTTAGCTTAAATGAAAAATGTAATTTATCATCCATAACTATTACTTATGAGAAAATCAATCTTGTCTAAAATCAATATATAACAAGTATCCCACAGCTTACCTTCGTGAACATTTAGGTAAGACCCAATTCCATGACCAGTACCGTGTCTGTAGTCAAGACCATCCTTCCACAAAGGGACCCGTGCAAGAATATCGAGAGTATGCCCTGAAAATAGGAAATTATCCAAATCTTCACCTAGCCCACACAATATCAGACAGAATTTCTTTGGTGGGATTGTTCAATTCAAGCATTTCCAGTCCAAAACTCAAAAGTCAATAGGAAATTTTTCAAGACTACAAAACTATATGTATTATCAATAGTTGAATAAAAAATCAATCTTTACCAGTGGTTCCATTAGGAAAGCGAGCATTCCCCAATCCAATATGACCTTTGAGAACCTACATGAGAACGAGGGTAGAGTTATGATATGCTAATACTTGATAACTGAGAAAAGATGAGCATTATCTTTAATTGTGAAAGAGGAAATTTCTTCAGAAATTTTGAGGAAGATGGATGGATTGTGCCCTTTTGAATTAAAATTTAAAGTTATAAAGATAGAGAACAATAGGAAACACCTGCAGGTGAAATAAAACTGGCTACCAATAAATATTAGAACAAAAGAGCAACACCTTTTCTCAGAACTGGGCAGTAACAGATTCAAGTGTTAAATGGTAATCTATGCAAAGAATTTATCCAGCACATTAAGAAGAAAATAAATGGAAAATATATGTGAATCCTACAATTACAAGGAATATACATCTCTGATAGGTAGACTCTTAGTCACAATTTGAAGTGTTGGAGAGAGTGAGCTCAACTCCAGGTAGTGAGAGTGGCAAAAATCCAACAGTTATCTCTGGAGCATCTATATTCTAACATTAAACAATTATCTTATGTGTCTCAAAATATGTTGATTAGATCTCATTATATTTTTAAATTCGAAATAATTGTTTCATGGTAGTAGGAATAGGGATGGATCAAGAAGTCAGAATAGAAGATCATGTTGTCTTAAAGGTGTATTGCTTTAGGAATTTAGATTCATTGACAAGAACTGGAAAACAATAAAATGGAAAAGTAATGTAAAAGATTGTATTAATCGAAACATTCTTATAAGATTAAAATGCAAGTTCTACAAAACAATTATTAGATATGCTGCATTTATATTACTAAATGTGAGCGTGTAAAGGACAAGATGTCAATAAGTACGTAGCAGGAATGATAATGTTAAGATGGATGTATGTTTGTACTAGAAATGATAATATAAGAGGTGAGAATATACATGTACAGGTGGAGTGGTAATGGTTGAGGATAAATTATAGGAAACACGGCTAAAGTGTTCGCTAGAGTGATGAGATCCCAATAAAAAAAAAAGTAAGAAGAGAAATAGGTAGACACAAATTCATATGGTCTCTTGTGGTTGAGAAGATTCTGATTGCATTAGATTTTTAAACAGTTATAAAGATGAGCCATACGGAGTGACTAAGAGTATCCACCTTGTCGACCCATTTTATTCTATTTTTGGAAAAAGGCTTAGTTTGTAGATGTTGTTCGAAATAATTATTTCACATCTTTCAACAATGTTATTACTAGTTGCGAGAGAAAACTATTAGGTCTTTCAGTACATAACTAAAATGTTGTTGTATTCAGATATTTAGAGAAAGATGTGAACTGACTTAACCACTAGAATAATTATGCATAAAGTTGCCAATCTTTAGGGATGGTAAAAAAATTCGACAAACACGATACTTGCGGGAGCCAAACCCGTACCCGTTTAATCGGGTTTTCGGGTAGGGGTGGGTAACTTGCCTCGGGGCAAGTACGGGTGCCCCTCCCCGTCCCGTTTAATTTTTTTTTTTGAATTCAATATTTTAAATGGAAAATTTCACGAAATTTCATTAGTTCTAATAGAAAATGGCAACTAAAATTATCTAAAAAATATGACAAACAATAAAAGCCTTAGTTTACCAAATATATTTGAATAATTTAACTTTTAAAAATAAGCAATAATATAACAAACAATAAAAGCCTTAATTTGCCAAATATATTTAAATAATTTAAATTTTAAAAATAAATAAAAATTAAAAAATATATCTTTGTCTCACTCTAATAAATGGGGGCAATAAAATGAATTATAAAAAAACTTAAAGAAAAAAATTAAACGGGATAGTAAACGGGCCCCGCCCCGCCCCGTCTTGCCCTAAACGGGTAACGGGGCGGGAAATTGCATGGCGGGGAGGGGGAGATTGCCCCAACCCGCCCCGTTGCCATCCCTACCAGTCTTCAGTTTCATGGGTTCAAATCTACATTGCCCCCTTTCACACACCAATCATATATGATGATGTAAATGAGTGTGCCATACCAAATTCATAGCTGTTCTTGTAGCCCAATGCCATTAGTGACACGCTCTTAGTGAGAAAATTATGTTCCGCTAGATTGCAAGCTTAGCCTGAATTAGGGGCAAATCATCAATTCTCCACTGAGGGTGCGGTTGCGGTTGTGGTTGCGGTACTCATGTTGTGCAACTTGTGTGGCTAAGGGAAGATTTACGGGCTTTCCAAATTTATGCACACTAAGCTATATCAGGAAAAGAAAATGCTGGGTTAATAATTTTCCCAGTCTTCTCAGGGATCCAGATGAGGTTGTCAAACATCATATTGTAGAATGTCTGCCATGATTTTCTTCTCGTTCTAGTGAACATCACTGCTTTCTATATTTTCCATCCGAACACATTATTAGAAAAGGATCTGAGAAACTATAAGTACTATTAAACATTGGTGTCACCTTGCCCACAGTATACATGGATCTAATCATCTAAACTTACTCCCCCCTTTGGTTTAATTTAGGTGACTTGATAGAAAACTGATTTGAACACTTCTAATATCAAGTAAGATGTCAGTATAATAAAAATTTTGATTTTTACTACAGCTGACCAAGTTCATTGATAATTGAACATATTTATCACGTTTCATATCCGATTGCTGTGTCCCAATGATAAGAGGACTTATTTAACATTTAACTTTCAACCAAAAATACTTTCAAAGCAATAATCAATCTCGATTTATTTGAACTTTCAGCAGAACAGTGAATGAATAAGAAACTTCACGTTAGTACTACAAGCTGAATGCATTTTGGTTTGAAAGGACTACCAAACACAACAAATAAGGCTTCAAATTAATTTGATTCTGATCAGAACCATTGGCAGGCATTGGGAGCGCTAAAGAAGTACAATCAGGTCAAGGCCTTAAATAATTTTCTTCATTCTGCTGACCTAATGATTGATGTTAGTCATTTCTAAACTTGATAGGTACGTTGTAAGATTTTTTCTCCAATTTTCTTTATGTGAAATACCTAGAAATCGCCTGATCAAAATATCAGACTAATAAATAAATCTACACTTAAAAGGCACAAGGTTGAGAGACTAGAGCTTCAGTTGTTAATAAGTCTGGAAGATTGTTGCATCTTATGTGTGATGCTCCAAAAAGGCCAGCCTGTAATAATTTTTCCTTGCCCACTTCCCCCCTCTGAATGAACTTGTATTTCAAGCAATCTACTTGCTTTATAATTCATCTTGCCCACTTCCCCCTTTGAATAAATCTTTTGTGGTCAAAAAATTTCATACTCTACTTGCTTTATAATTCTCTCACTTTCCATTAAAAATTACTAATTTCAGTTTTAATTTCAACACTACGTATAATTACTTAGTGCGCACTTTCAGTACCCTTCACAGTTTCTCTCCCCACCCCTGCAGCCTGCTCTAAACCATCAGAGGTCATACTAAAAATCTAACTAACCTTAAAGTTCAACTTAACCTAAGAGCAAACTTCAATTGCGCATAACACAAGAAACAATCATAAACAAAAGAAGTATTACATACCGCAGTATAACATGCTTTCTCATGAGAAGTAGGTTTTCCAAAATGAACTGTCCGGGTTATATCAGTTGTTCCATCTAGATACTTCAGAGCACCAACAACGTCAACTTTAGAAATAAATATACTGAAATAAGGTAGAATGGAAGTGAAGAAAATAAAGAAGAAACTGAATAATTAATCAATTAAATGATCATTAATGTGAAAACTGCAAATAAGTTGACACACCTGAGCTCCTGAATCGAATAGGTACATGCTATTTGGATCAAGTTCAGCACATGATTCCACCGTTGGACAATAATGGATTATTGCCCCATTTGGACCAACTGATGAAATTGTTGGGAAACTCAACCCCCTAAAATGCTGTTTATGAAAAATAGTGTAGCATTAGAAAACAAATAAAAATAACTATGGAAGTACTTAATATTTTACTACTCAACTAGCTCAGGTTTGCACCTAAAATTTGTCTTTTGCAAATATCCACAAGACTTCCAATACAGTCCCAACATGAAGTAGGAAAATAGAACGTAAAACCATGCCAATTTAACCAAGCTTGGACTCTTTTCAACTTCTTAAGGGTACAAGAATTTAAAGCGCTTGAGTTATGTAGCATTAGTAAACTTCAAATGAATTACTAGCTAAAGTTACACAGGGATTGGGGTTAGTGTGAACAGACAGTATTAAGTTTTGGGGTTGATTGTCCATTAAGGACTTCATTTTCATTCCAAGATTGAAAATGAGACATTAGCAACACGACTGACGGAAAATTAGACAGAATAATGACACTTGACAAAGCTTCTCCTAGAGCATGACATGTAAGAAGCAATGGATTTGACCATATCTCTAGGCTACAATTGAATATAGATATGACTTCATCACTTTCTTTCTTTCCTTTTTTTTTTTTTGGCTAGAAAAGTAAAGCCCATACCTGTTTAGATGCACGGAACTCCTCTAGCTTGTCACTTACAGACACTTCAGTCAGTTTCACGGATTTCCTATCATTACCATTAACCAGAAACATGTTGGAGTACAATAGTTTAAACAAGAAAGGAACGACCATCAAGTCTAAAGACGCAATTTCAAAACCCAGTTCCATTCAGTGAGCTACTATCATCTACTATTCTTTTTTCTCTATATCAATCTCAAGCAAAACTGAACACTTCTATGTAGTACTTTATTCATCAAATTAGATATTCAAGTTTGAAGTCATTAGAAGAGAGAAAATATACATACATATGTACATATACGTACATATATATATATGCAACACGTGTGGCCTTAAAGCTCCCTCTTAAAGAACGTAGAATAAGGATAAGACAGGCCGTGTAATAGAAATTTGCAATATAACAATTAGAAGTGCTTAGTTTAGGAAAGAACTTTTGAATGTTTTACTTCAAGACAGAAGGAATGCACAAGAAGAACAAGATAAACCTGTTAAACCTCCCAATTGCAATGCACTATATTTCCATTCTATGTAATATTTTACAGCAACAATGCATTGTCAAGTGAGTATTTCTAGGAAAAAGCCAACTGGACAATTTTAAACAAGACAACTTCAAGAAAGAGACAACAGTCAGTATTCATAGCTATTCAGTAAAAGTCCGAGCTCGAAAATCCTGGCTATTGGAATGGTCCAAGTCTAAAAGGCAGGAGTCCAGTTGTTCATGAATAAATCAATCTTAACAATTTGATAATTTGGGAAAAGTAATTGGCTGTGCACCATTTCCAGAGCTCTGACGCTATTAATGGCCTAATTTCAGAGTTCAGACTAGACAAAAATTTTTGCATAAACTTAACACTTGAAATTATTGGTCTGTAATCTGCACAAATAATTGTACCAAACGTACGGTTGGTCATTCTTCTTGACACTGTCACCCTCAATGAAATATCCAGAAGCCCCATAAAATTCCTGCATCTGGGGAAACAGCAAACTACCGCATCAAATACCATTCCCAGATATGGAAATGTAACAAAAACCGTGATGAATTCCTATATTTAAACAATTGTTTGTTTAAGTCTTGCACTTGCATATATAATTGTAGAATTTTCAAGATAACCTATTGTATAAATGGCTTTTAAGTAAAATAAAGACGGGCTAAAATGACAATGATATTTTGCCCACGACTCCAGAAAATAATTGATAAAAGTAAGATTCTATAAAAGAAAAGGATATATTCTTCAGGAGTTTATTCTAGAAAGTTTTGCAGCCTGAAGATTAGCAAACAAAAATTCTTATCTATCAAATAACTCACATCACAAGATGTTGAAATTTTTCATTCATATTTCATGCAGAGTGGGCAGGACATTGTTACATTAAATATCAAATAAGATTATTTCAACTGTTTTATTACATCTTTAATTAGATTTTTGCATTTTCATTTTATTCTTTGGATGACTTTTTCTACATATTTATGGGCTTTATGCTCGTAGACTCTTAGAGGCTTAAACTCTAAGGTAAAAGTTTTGATGTGGATTTGGAGTTGCTTCTGCTGTCAGAATACATCTTATTTAGGCTACATAATCATGTCATAATATTTTGTTGCTTATAGAATATTCTTTTATACGTGCATGTTATGAATTATGTTACTTAACCAACAGTGCCAAATTTTACAACTCGTAATCTGTTAAAATAGTAATTTGATTCTTCACGCTGTTCCCAATTTTGGAACTATGCCTTTTGCTTTAGAAACGAAGAGAACAGTCAAAGAAAAATGAACCATTATACTGACGCTAGTTTTAACCTTGATTTTGATTCCATAAGACCAAAAAGAATTTATTATATCCAAATTTCTTGCACATTTATATATACCTGCTTGTCCAGCCAAATAAGAAACTGCACAACAGCTGCACCATCCCGAATGTGTGCATTCTTCAATCCATCCATCTCAACAGGATTCTGAAAATAATAAGCCAGCCACTCAATAAGAACAAAGTTGCTCTAAAAGAATTAGAGCGAACCTTGTAATAATACATTGAATACTTTATGAGATGGTTTCTCTGTACGTCTGACCCTCTATTTCAGTCACACACGACAAATCAATTACAATAACAAGAAATAATTGTAGATAGGCCAGCCTGTGCCACATATGCACATAGGAAAAAAAATAACAAGAATTAACGACGGCTCCAAAAAGAAAATTACAGGAAATTCCAAATGGACTATGAAGAATTAAAAAAGTACTAAGGTCTGTAGGCATATTGCATGTTTCCTGTCAGAAATTAACTATATACTGCTGAGACATCTTCCATACCCTGGTTGTAATGCGGGAGCCATGGTTTCTTCACCAAAGTTCTAAGAGCAAATTACTTTCCAGCTGCAATGCCATGAAAGCAAACAATATATGTTCCCTCATTTACTTAACATGCTATTATCTTCTCTTCTTTCATAAATTCCATTAGAAAAATGAGGAGAAAAGGTCAATTATGATCCACCACAAAATCCGATGTAAATGCATCCTGATGCTCCACATTTTCCTTTTCATGTTAAGAAAATCTAACCATATATTAGGAGAGTGGAAGCAGAGTTATGTCCATATTTTCAAAGAACTTAATAAATGTACAGACATGTTTTTCTTCATGACAAACACAACTAGATATTTGGGGTGCCTAAGATAGAATCAGGAAAACAACGTGACGAATAAGATTATAAAATAATGTAATTAACTTCAATAATTTGAAAAACACTAATGAAAAAAGTAAGGATAATTTGTACTTAAAAGTGTGATTATTTTGTACCTCTTGGTTATCTTGGATTTCTATATTTTTCAAGTAAATTAAATGCACATGCACAATTAATATTGAATAAAGAGTTGCAATTTTATTTTTGACGACGATGATACTTTTATTTAGATAATAATACAAAGACCAATTGCAATTCTTGAAAAGAAATGAATATGTTGTTTGGATGTCATGTTACTAGTTATTAAAAGTGCTGAATGAAAAAAATATTTCTAACAGTAGACTCTCGGCATGCTATTGGAAGATGTATCAGGTAAGATATGTGGATGTGACTTTTATTAGGTAAGTGATGCACAGTAAGAGCAACTTGAATCCAGCTCCAATTATTATATTTACACACGCATTTACAAGGAATTTTCACATATTAAGTTCTCGAAATAATATTCCCAATAAACTCGGTCAATTGATTAAATGACACTACCTTCAACCCTGGTTCAGTCACCTAACTACTTGAAAAAGAAACAGAAAAACAGAAAAATAAAATGGCAAATTCCTATTGTAGGTGAGAGGTGTTTTATGATAGAATGCACTACCTTTAGGGCTTTGGCAAGGCCTAAAGGTGATGGACGCTTGAGAACCTCATCCACGTTCAATTTTGAATACAAAGCAAAGCAGCATGTACCATCAACCCATACAAGGTTATTACTACTCTCTTCTTCCACATTATCATTCCCAGCCTCATGAGAATTGCTGTCTATTTTCTTTGGAATGTCGTGTTCAGCTTTTATGGCTGAACTGGAAGGAGTGAGCTGGTCAGATGCAAGTAAAACCACATCCGAACTCACGGCACTGTAATCCCGCACTTCAATTCCATTTTTCAACATGTAAGAGCTTGTCTGCAGATCATATGTATTTGGGATTAAAAAGTCAACACGTACAAAAAGAACTTTTTTGCTTAAACTATTCATAAAATAGACCTCCGAAGATATCTTTCTCTTGTCCACGTAAAAGAAAGCTGAAGCTAGCGTTACGATAGCATACGCATGAACAACGGGGCAGTAGGAAACATCAGTTCCACGAATATTATACAACCAAGCAACCTGAAATGTTAATAACGGTAAATTAGCAAAGAAACTTAAAAGCATTTGGATCTTAACTTGACACAGGCGTTAACATGGCAGGAGCATGATAATAAACTCCTATTATCATAGACTTGCCTCATCAAGAGCGGTTATTATGATAGCACGAGCTTTTTCCTGAACAAGCTTTTCCCTCAAATCCTTCAACTTTTCTTGAACAGAACGACCAGAAAATTCTAGTGGATGGACAATAACAGGATTAATTTCCAGTGGAGGTCTACTTTTCCAAACTTCATCAACCAAGTTTGAGGATGTCTGGACCAACTTTTGTTGTTTCTTAGCGAAAGCATGCTCCCATCTCTGTGCAGTGTCAACTGATACACACCAGGGATCAACGCCAATAGCTGCATCTTTTGGTAGATTCTAGTATAGAAAATCAAAAATTAGGGTAGAAATTCTAGGCTAAACCATTACAGCTTCTTTCACAATAAAACAGATATTGAGATGAGCCCATAAATAGCAGAAACTAGATTACACAGAAACTGTGAAGTGAACTCACATCTGCCATCCAAATATCAACAGCTGGGTCTTCCCCCATGCGCATTAGCTTCCACTGTCCACCAAGCTGCTGTGATGCCTGCAAAAAATACCTTCCATCTGTCCACAATAAGGCTTCATTCGCTGTTATAAGTGCCAAGCCTACATGAAATCCAAATTTTGAGACTTAGTTATAATCAATTCAATAAAAATGAACACAGGGATAAAAAGGCACACCAGACCACATTGTGCATTTGACAATTTCTATCAGCAAGTACTGCAGTCATTAATGTGCCAAAACTGCACTTCATTTTGGTCATATACAAGGATATGCCAAGAGATTTAGCATAAAGATAATCATTTGATGATATCATTGCGAAACCTCAGACAATCTTCTCAAAGTTGTTGCGGTCTATAGCTCAGAACTAAAATTTATCCACTCAATGATGTACGTGATAACAAAATATTCTAGTCAATAAATTTCACAACCCCACTGGGAGGTCGCTAGATTAATAAAAACAATGATTTCTTAGCTTATGTGAATGATTAATGCTCTAAAAATCAATTCTTTCTCAACTTTGGTTATCGGTCCATATCAAAAGTAAACAGACTTAATGCCGCAAAACTGATTCGCTTTTTACCAAAGTAGAAGAACCAAAATTTTACACTGTCATCGAATGGTATGAAAAATAAGTTAATAAAATAGAAACAGACCCGCACTGCCGGTGAATCCAGATACAAATTCACGCCTTTTGTCCCGCTCGGATACATACTCACTCTGCCACATCAAAACTCACCAATTATTATATAAATTAACAAAAAGATTCAACCGCCAGTCGTCCAATCAATCGCATACACACATAGAGAGAAGGCTTTAAAAACTCAATTAATAAATACAATAGTCAAACTGAAGCATATTCATTACTGTAAATATCTTCAGAACCATATACAGGAGACGGACCTGATGATAATCTTCGGACGGAACGATAAGAGCATCGAGTTTGGGAGAGTGAGAGGCCATTAGAGACCTTAGAGCAACCAGTATTCCTTCAGCCATCCTGTGTCTCTCTCTAACTGTGATTAGCGTCTTAAATGGAAATTTCAGATTTTATAGTGCACAGATCTTTCTTCTACACAACCTTTTATAATATAAAAAAAAAATTGCGATATATTTCTCTATTTATTAAAAATTGCAGAAAACCTCCTCTTTGGAATTTTTTTTGTATGATAAATCCCCCGTGCGGTTAAGATGCGTCAGATTTGCCATTAAAAAGGGAAAAAAATACCAAAATTAAAAAGAAATAATTAGAATTTCAGTAGCCAAACTTTTTTTTTTAACAAATAAATTCCATTTTTTTATATGTGCCACCTACCATTCCAAATCTTTAAAACTTTGTTTTCCACCTCTCCCCACTTTTATGTATTTTATTCTTCCCGATGCCAAAGACGAAATTCCAGCTTTAGTAGAAAAAATTGGCTCCGAAAACAAAGTTTAAATAATCACCTCCCCGTATGAACAAGTGGAAGTAGATGTATTTCGTATTCTAAAATTCAAGATATCTTTTAGCCAAATTTATAATCACCTCTCTGGTTAGTTAAAACATCCAATCATGCACACTATCAACTTGCATTCCACTGCCGGCATCAAATCCGTTCAAAACAGCCACAATTCCAAGTCAAAACAACGAACTAGCGAACACTTTTCTTGCTAACAACCCCACTTTTGGTGACACCCATAGTCACGCACAATCATCGGCGGTTAGCCCTCATCTAGATGACCCTAAACATGGCCTAACATCAACCCAAAAAAGCCTCCATTCAATCTTTTGTTATTCGGAATTTTTCGACATTCGCAACTCATTTTTTGCCGAACACATCTAATTCAATTCATGCTTCATGCAACATCCAATCCCCAAATTGGCATCAATCAAACCAACAAGAAGTCCAAATGACCATGGGTATGAATCTAATTAAGCCAATTATCCCCCCAACTATTCCAAGTTTTGGTTCAAAATTTGTCCTGAATGCTATGCATAACAACTATGTTCTATCCAAAATTGATGGATCCCCAGTTCTTCATTTATAAATTCACATGGGGAAATGCATAATCAGGGCCAGACAAACATGGGCATGCAAACAATTGATCCAATCCAGCCCTTAAATTCGTGCGCAGCTTGCAAGAACATTGAGACTATTATATCTCAATTAATTGAATGGACAATGCAAGATGGGTGGCTGTGGTTTGATTGTAGTGGTGCATCTCGTGTTAGATGGGTGGTTGTGGTTTGCCAGCGATGGTGCCGACGATGGTGGGGTTTAAAGGAGAGAACCTTTTATTTTTTGGTTATTTTGTTTTTAGGAAAGAAGATAATGTGGGGTGGAGTAGAGTGAAAAATAAAATTTTAAGATTTTGGATGATATGTGATATAAAACTTTTGTATTTAATTTGTAAAAAAAAAAAGTTTTGGTACTAAAATTGCAATTATCCTTTTTTAATTTTGGCATTTTTTACATTTTTAACGGCAAATCTGAAATCTTGACAGAATGAGGGTTTTTCGCACAAAATGTTTCAAACATGGGGATTTTAATTTTCAGTAGGTAATGGAGTATATCGCAGTTGAAAACGTTATAAGGGAGATGTTCTGCTATTAATCCTAAATTAAAGTAATTGTGATTAAGTGGTAACTCTTCTAAGCGGAAAAGACTCTCCTGTAGAATGCGACTTATTTCTTCTATATATTAAAAGTGGCTATGTAACGAAATTTCTTGTTTTTAACTGAAAAACTAACGGAATTTGTTGTTTTAACGGATTATGTAACGAAATTTCTTGTTTTAAACAGGCAGCTGCACCTTCTTTCAGTATTTTTATCATAACTTTGTATTCCGATATCCGATTGAGGCGATTCAAAATACGTTGGAAAGCTAACTCATCTGGCTACAACTTTGATTCAGACATCATTCTCCAATTCGATCACTTTCCATGCCAAAAATAGGTCTCAATATGAGACTAAAATATCGGAGCATAACTTTTNTCATTGGTGGATAAAGATTTTGTGAGTTCCAATCCACCAATGAATTAATGTGCCAACTCATCGGTGCTTAGGATAAGATGAGCACCGGTGCTCATTAGATCATTTCTGTATATATATATATTCTTAGATTTACTCGACAAGGTATCTCGAATCAAATGCAAATTTTAATCAGCAGTTATCTTTTTCAATATAAAATGGATAGAATCAATTCTAAATATATATTCTTAGATTTACTCGACAAGGTATCTCGAATCAAATGCAAATTTTAATCAGCAGTTATCTTTTTCAATATAAAATGGATAGAATCAATTCTAAATATATATTCTTAGATTTACTCGACAAGGTATCTCGAATCAAATGCAAATTTTAATCAGCAGTTATCTTTTTCAATATAAAATGGATAGAATCAATTCTAAATATATATTCTTAGATTTACTCGACAAGGTATCTCGAATCAAATGCAAATTTTAATCAGCAGTTATCTTTTTCAATATAAAATGGATAGAATCAATTCTAAATATATATTCTTAGATTTACTCGACAAGGTATCTCGAATCAAATGCAAATTTTAATCAGCAGTTATCTTTTTCAATATAAAATGGATAGAATCAATTCTAAATATATATTCTTAGATTTACTCGACAAGGTATCTCGAATCAAATGCAAATTTTAATCAGCAGTTATCTTTTTCAATATAAAATGGATAGAATCAATTCTAAATATATATTCTTAGATTTACTCGACAAGGTATCTCGAATCAAATGCAAATTTTAATCAGCAGTTATCTTTTTCAATATAAAATGGATAGAATCAATTCTAAATATATATTCTTAGATTTACTCGACAAGGTATCTCGAATCAAATGCAAATTTTAATCAGCAGTTATCTTTTTCAATATAAAATGGATAGAATCAATTCTAAATATATATTCTTAGATTTACTCGACAAGGTATCTCGAATCAAATGCAAATTTTAATCAGCAGTTATCTTTTTCAATATAAAATGGATAGAATCAATTCTAAATTTGTAATACAGAATAATAATTGTGCCTTGTTCTTGGAATGGTTTGTGATGAATATGATGACACTTGAAGCAATAATAAAAAATATGAATAATCAAATATTTAGGGTGCGTATGATTGCAAGTGTGGAAAATGGGTGAAAAGAAAATGATTTGCAGAGAAAATAATTGCCTAAAAAATATTTTGTAGGGAATTGTTAATTAAGTGTGTTTGATTGGTATAATTTTCCACCCGAAAAATTTTTAAATTTTCTATTCGTTTGACTTTGTTTTATATGGAAAGTGTCTATTAAAGTGATAATTTTTTTCANGTTTGGCTTTGTTTTACATGGAAAGTGTCTATTGAAGTGATAATTTTTTCCACAATTGGTTATAAAATTTGTTTCCATTGCCAAAAAGTAAAAATCCGGAAACTGTAGACGTGTGGACGAAACCCGGAAAATATTTTCCGTGGAAAATTATGCCTATCTAACAGCCAAAAAAGTTGAAAGTAAAAAATATTTTCCTAGTTCCCTGGAAAATAACGCCATCAAACAGGGCCTTATAGAATTCGATATGGAAAAAAAGTACATCTTCAATGTATTTTTTGAATTGTAATTAGAGGATAAATAGATAAAATGACTTTTAATCTACATGATATTTATGTCTAATGAATAGACGATAAAGAAAGAAAGAAAGAGAACATTTAAATTTCGTTGAGTCCCTCCGTCTCAACACAACATCTACATCTAGACGGATTCCCAGGTATTATCTATTTTCTCGCATCACGGCAGCTTGATGGAGTCCCAATCGAATTGAAAATTAATTTTATTTTAATTTACGTGGCACAAATTTTAAGTAATTCACGATTATAGTAGAGATGCTTTAACGATAAGTATAAACAATCATATATAGAGATACAAGATTGCGTCCTAATGATATGCCAATACATAATTGCTAAAAAATATCACTCATTTTGTTCAACATTGTGTCAATATATACAATTACGGTTACATTCATGTAAAAATATTATCGGGGTTGGACTCAAAAACATCGCGATGCAAAATTATAAAAGTCCGGTAATTGTGGTTTTCTTGGTCAATCATTCGAGGAAAATTCTTTGCTCCATAGCCAAAATTAAGGGCAATAAATTTCTTCATCCTATTTATAGAGAGAGAATAAAATTGGAATTAGTTTCTCAACAAATAAATACAGTCTATTTCTCAAAGAAGAAGCATAACTTCGCCTTTTGCTTTTACTTTTGCTTTTACTTTTGTATAGAAAAGTTTAATGAGAAAGTTATCTAAACTTTTATTTCAAACCTATTTTCTAAAAGAATTTTTTATTCCGGAAGTATTTTTAGAGGATGCAATATTTGATCAAAATTTTCTAGAAGATCTTCTAATTTGAAGAAGTGCATTCATAAAATTAGCCAAACGAATTCAAAAGCAATTTTTAGATCTCAAAAACTCATTTCATCTTCAAACGTACACTTTAAAATGGAGATAACTAAATGAAAGATTAGTTAACTATAAATGGAAATAAGGGTAAATTGCATCTTAACCTTTTCAATCTTTTGTACATTCATCACTAGGGAAAAATTCATAAATAAGGTGTTTAGTTTACACCAATTCAAAAATCATGTTTATAGTTTGAAAATTCAAAAATCGGGTTTTTTTGTTTTTTTTTTTTTTTTTTTATAAATTAATT